GCAAAAAAAAAAACACAACCCAATTAAAATCAAGAAACATAAAGAAAGTGAAAAAAGTATGCTTCATTCTGAACTCAGAGTTCATCAGTTCTCACTCTGAAAAGTAGAAAACGTTTTTCACCATGGGTCCTTTGGAATTGTCTTGGATCATCGTATTGCTCAGAGTAACCAAAACTATCATAGTTGGTCATCCTTTTAATATTGCTGTTACTGTAGTTGATCATCATTACAAGACTACTGTTACTGTGTTCAATGTTCTGGTTCTCCTTGCTTCACTTTGCATCAGTTCATGTGAGTCTTCCCACATTTTTCTGAAACTGTCCTGCTCATCATTTCTTATAGCACAGTAGTATTCCGTACAATCATGTACCACAACTCGTTAAGCCATTCCCCAAATGACTTTTCTAATTCTTTGTCACTACAAGAAGAACTGCTGTAAATATTTTTGTGCATGCGGGTCCTTTTCCCTTTTTTATGATCTCTTTGGCATCAGATCTGATAGTGTTTTTGCTGGGTCAGAGGTACCTATGTACAGTTTTATAGCCCTTTCAGTGTAGTTCCAAATTGTTCCCCAGAATGGTTGAACCAGTTCACAAATTGCACCAACAGAATATCACTGTACCTATTTTTCCACATCCCCTGCAGTATTTGTCATTTTCCTTTTCTGTCATATTAGCCAATCTGAGAAGTGTGAGGTGGTACCTCAGAGTTGTTTTAACTTGCGTTTCTCTAACCAGTGGTGATTTAGAACATTCTTCATGTGACTATTGATAGCTTTGATTTCTTTTTTTTTTTTTAACTGTTTTTTCATATCCTTTGACCATTTATCAATTGGGGAATTTTTAGAAATTTTTATAAATTAGCTTTAGTTCCCTATATATTTGAGTAATGAGGCCTTTATCAGTCTCTTTCCGTTCTTCTCTTAAGATCATCAAAATAGAACTATTCCTAGGCCTTTTCTAATTATCATCTCCCCATATTTGAACATAAGCAGTTTATCTTTGTTTAGTCCTTTGTCATTGTCATTTATGTTTGCCTTTTTGTGTTTTTCTTTTTGCCTATGTTTAACTTCAAAGTACAGATCTGATCTTGTCATTGAATGCTTGGAAGCTTTCTTATTTCGCTAAAAGTTAATTTTTTTTTCTCTTGTGGCATTATACTCAATTTTGCTGCATAGGTTATTTATTCTTCTCTGTAAACCCCTACCCTTTGGATTCTGGAATATTGTATCCCAAGTTCTCTGCCTCTTTAGAGTAGTGGCTACTAAATCGTGTGTGATCCTGACTTTGGCTCCTCAGGACTTGAGTTTTTTCTGACTGCTTTCAGTATTTTTTGCTCTGATCTGGAAACTCTGAATATTGGCTATACACTTCCTAGAAATTTTTGTTTTTGAGTTTCAGAAGGTAGATTCCTTCTATTCTACTTTACCTCTAGTTCTAAGAGATCTGGGTGGTTTTCTTCTAAGATTTCTTGAAATATAATGCCTAGGATTTATTTATTTTTTTTGTCATGGTGTTTAAATAGTCCAAGGATTCTAAATCTTTTGTCTTCTGTCTTGCAGGTCAGTTGTTTTTGCTATGAATTCCACCTTAGCTTTTCTTTTATATTTTCAGTCTTTTGACTGTGCCCTGACATTTCATGGTGTCATTGGTTTCTATTTAGTCCATTCAGATTTTTAGGGAGTTTATTGCTGGGGTAAGATTTTTGTGCCATTTATGCTAAATCTGTTCATTCCCTTTCTAATTCTGTTAACTTTCACTTTTCTACTTTTTACCTCAAGTGCTCTCATTTATTAAAAAACCTAAACATTTAAAAAAATTTTTCTTCATCTCCTCCAGGGATCCTAGTTGAGTTGGTGCCCATGCTGTGTTTTTCTCTGAGGCTTGGCTTATAGGTGTTTTAGAGTCATTCTTGTCTTCTGAGTTTGTGTTTTGAGCTTCTCTGCCACTATAATGGCAGCTAATGATAGCTCTTTGTGGTGGGATTTTTTTTTTTAAGCTGGTTTGTTTGCTCATTCTCCCAGCCTGTTTTCCAACTTGAGACTTGATGTTAGGGCTAGGTTCTGTCCCGTTTCTGAAAGGAGGGTCTGGGTTGATCCTGTCGTTCCTTTCTCGCCGTCGTATGGGGTCATTTATTCCATGATCTCAGGGAAAAGGCGGGGGACCTGCAAGCTTTCAGTCTGTCCAGAGCGGTCTGATCCAAGGCAGAGTATGATTTCTGCTCTGGGTCTGAGCTCTGCAAATGCCTGATCCGAGCAACAGTAGAATGCTACCAGACTCGGCCACTGTCAGTTTGTTCTAAAGCTTTGTTAGTTCAGAGTGACAGAATTGTAGGTTCTAATTTGAACGGAGATTTTTGCCCTGGTTATTCCTCTACAGGCTCCAGGCTACATGCTGATTCTTTGTCTCTGAGTCCACTATGTTCTTGGTGTCTAAACAGCACTGCTGGCACAACATTCTTTTCCCTTTTCTTCACCCTGGATTTCTGGCCTGGAACTGGGTAATGGACAGCACATCTGCAAGGCGACACCTGCTTCCATTACAGTGTCCCATATTGGTTTGCTGGTACCTAGGTATGGGTCTGGGCCTCCTCTTCTTGCCTTGATCTCCCTGGGCAATGCTGCTGGAGTGCTCTTTGCGTAGCATGCTGCTGGCCTGATTCTGGCCTTAGTTTCCACAAATCTCTCTCTCTCTGTTTCCTCATGCTGACCTGGTCTAGACGAATGAATCATTGTGACTATTTCTGTATTTCCCTATCAGAATTCGAGCTGGTACATTTTGTAGGTTGTTTGTGGAGGAGACTCTTAGACTTTTAGAATCATAGAATTGTAGAGTTTGAAGGAACCTTTAGTGGTTGTATCTAATTCTCCACTTTTTTTTTTTAAAAGAATTTCCTTCTAGGGGCAGCTAGGTGGTGCAGTGGATAGAGCACCAGCACTGAAGTCAGGAGGACCTGAGTTCAAATATGACCTCAGACCACACACTTGACACTTACTAGCTGTGTGACCCTGGGCAAGTCACTTAATTGCCTTAAAAAAAAAGAATAAAAAAAGAGTTTCTTTCTAAAATATCTCATTCAGGTTGTCATAAGGGGACCCTTATTTGAATACATCCTGTGATAACAATGCATATGGTTGAATAGTTGTTTTATACTTCTTATTGATTTTTCCTAAGTTTCCCAATATGTCTTCCTACCCTTACTTTCCCTGTTCCTCAAACCCAGAGCCATCCCTCATAACAAAGAAAGCAAAATATACTAACATGGATTAGTTTCAGCAAAACCAACCAATATATCAATCAAGTTTGACATTTTTTGTGTCATTCCAGCCCCATAATCTCTCCTTCCGCGCCACCTCTGCAAGGAAGGGTAGGGATGCTTTCTCCCATCTTTTTAGGGCCAAACTTGATTATTATTTCACAGCATTCAGTTTCTATTACTGTGGGGATGGTGTTGGTTGTTCCATTCACATTGTTGTAGGCATTATGTATATTGTTTTCCTGCTTCTGCTTACATCATTTTGTATCAGTTCATAAGTCTTCCCGTATTTCTCTGTTCATCTTATTTATACGGCTTAATCATTGTTTCTTATAGAATGCGGTAATATTCTATTATACTCTTGCACTGCAGATTGTTTAATCATTCCTCAATTTGTGGGCTTCTGACATGTTAACAGGGCAGCTAGGTGGCATTACAGTGGATAGTGTCAGTCCTGAAGCCAGGAAGACTCATCTTCCTGAGTTCAAATCTGGCCTCAGACACTTACTAGCTGTGTGACCCTGGGCAAGTCACTTTACCCTGTTTGCCTTAGTTTCCTCATCTGTAAAATGAGCAGGAAAAGGCAGTGGCAAACCACTGCATTGTCTTTGCCAAGAAAACCCAAATGGGGTCACAAAGAGTTGGACGCGACTGCAAACAACTGAACCATCAGCATATTAAGAGTTCTTTGCTTCTATAAATGTTAGGTGTGTATGAAGCCTTTCTTTTTATCCGTGACCTTAGGAAATATATCTAGCAAGAGGATCTTTGGGTCCAAGGGTACAGACATTTTAGTTACTTTCTTAGAATAATTTTTAATTCCTGCTTCACAGAGCTGCATCAGCAGTGGTTCCTTCAGCATTGATGATGTCCATCTTTTGTCATGTTTTCTCGGTTGCTGAGTATGAAGTAGAACTTCAGTTATTTTTATTTGCATTTTGCTTATTAGGAATTGGGAGAAATTTTTCAGATGATAATTAACAGCTTGTAATTCTTATTTTTAGAGGTTTTTTTTAAATAGTTCTAATTAGACAGTTACTTATATTGACCCCAAGTCTGTTCCTCTGTAACTTCTACCTGTTAGTTTTAGTTCTACCTTCTGGAGCTTCACAATTTGTTTATTCCATCGTAGTGACACCATTTGAGTATTTTACACCAGCTTTTATTGTCTCCCTTTAACCTTCCCTTAAAAAAGCTGATCTTTACTCCTTCTGCCATTTAGTTAGGAAACATTTATTAAGAACCTACTATGTGTAAACTATAACTATAATTTCATTAATATGGGATGTTCTTGTGAGAAAATTCCTCTCCCATTCAGATTGGCACCCACTCTGCAATATAGAGGCTTAGAGAGTTGCCAAAGGCATAGAGAGATGAAGTAACTTAGCCGATGTCCCCAGTATTGTTTGCTGGAGGTGGGAATTGAACCCTAGTTCTTTGGCCCTAAGGACAGCTCTCTACCTACAACTCCTTCTGACTCTTAGATTCTGATAACAGGGTATGGGTACGTGCACTTACAAATATTATCAGAGGTAAAATGTCTCTAAATTTCATGTTTTACATTTCATAATTCCCTAGATTTTATGTTGAGACTAGTTATATCCAAATTTTCTAGGAAAGTTATAGTTTATTTAAAAGTGAAAATTAAAAATGTGTTGGATAGTATACTTTGGTTTGTTTGAGGACGAAGAGATTAAATGCATATTTCTTTACCAAACACTTTTTTTTTTGGCTTTTATTATCAGGAGGCTGGACCCTACTGAACGACCCCTTCACATGGTATATGAATACTTAGCCAGCCTGGGCTTTGAGGATCCTGTTCGTATACAGGAGGAGGCAACAAACCCTGACCTCAGTTGTATGATTCGCTTTTATGGAGGTAAGAATCATATTGGGCTTAGCAAACTTAATAGCTGTCGTTAATCATCTCCAACCAGTCTAGATTTTAACTTAAAACCTATTTTATCAAAAACTTTCATTATTATTATTGTTGTTGTTGTATCTTTTGTTACCCAAACTGTCATTCTTTTTTCTTTTTTTAATTTTTTTTTTATATACCACAGTCATTTTCCAACATCTTTTCTTTCTTAGCAAAGAAAAACAGATGCTCTGTTGGTTGGTTTTGCTAAAGTGTGACAGTATGCAAATTTCTACATCCACAGTGGACCACTTTTCTACCAATCTGAAAGAAATACCCACATTGTTATTCTTAAAAGGAAAACTAGCTGTAGATAAAAGGATGGTAGCTTTTTTTTGATTCTTGAATTTCTAACCACTTTCTCAGTCTCCTTTGCTGGCTCATCATCCAAATAACATCCTCAAATTGAGTGTTCTCAAACAAACCAAACTGTTGTGTTCTAGGCCAAATCCTAGGCTTTTTCTCTTTTTCTGTTTTCCTTCTTGGTAACCTCTACAGCTCCCATGGGTCTAATTATCATCTGCATGCAGATGACTTTCGAATCTATAGATCTAGCCAGTCTCTCCTTTGAGATTCATTTCCTTCTTACCATTTGCTTCTTGGGCATTTCAAACTAGATGCTCTAGAGGGAAAGTGGAAGGGAATAAGCATTTATTAAGTGTCTGCTAAGGGCCAGGCACTGGTCTAAGCCCTTTACAAATATCTCTTTTGATCCTCAACAAAACTTTGATGTAGGTGCTTATTATTTCCCCCATTTTACAGTTGAGGAAACCGAGGCAGGCAGAGATTAAGTGACTGGTCCAGGGTCACACAGCTAGTAAGTGCTCAAGGCTGGGTTTGAACTCAGGTGTTCTTTTCTTTTACATTTTTATTTAGAGTTTTGAGTTCCAAATTCTATCCCTCTCTCTTTCCTTTCCCTCTCCCCTCCCCGACATGGTAAGTAACCAGATATAGGTTATACATGTGCAGTTTATGTAAAACATTTCCATATTAGTCATTTTGTACAAGAAGACTCAAAAAAAATGAAAGTGAAAAATAGCATGCTTTAGTCTGTATTCAAACAATATCAGTTGTTTCTCTGGAGGCGGGTAACATGCTTCATCATTAGTCCTTTGGGATTGTCTTTGAATTATTATATTGCTGAGAATAGCTAAGTCATTCACAGTTTTTCATCAGACAGTATTGCTATTACTGTATGCAACGTTATCCTGGTTCTGTTTACTTCACTATGCATCAGTTCATGTCAGTCTTTCCAGGTTTTTCTGAAGTCATCTTGCTTGTCATTTCTTATAGCACAATAATATTCTATCACAGTCATATACCACAGCTTGTTTAGCCATTCCCCAATTGATGGACATCCCTTTGATTTCCAATTCTTAGCCACCACAAAAAGAGCTGCTATAAATATTTTAGTACAAATAGGTCCTTTTCCCCTTTTATTTTGGATGTCTTTGGGATATAGACCTAGCAGTGGACCCTTTGTTGGATCAAAGGGTCCGCACAGTTTTTATAGCCCTTTGGGCGTAGTTCCAAATTGCCCTCCAAAATGGTTGGATCAGTTCACAACTCTATCAACAGTACATTAGTGTCCCAGTTTTCCGACATCCCCTCCAACATCCAACATTTTCTTTTTTTGTTATCTTAGCCACTCTGATGGGTCTGAGGTGGTACCTCAGAGTTGTTTTAATTCGAATTTCTCTAGTCAAAATGATTTAGACCATTTTTTCATGTGACTATAGATAGCTTTGATTTCTTTATCTGAAAACTGCCTGTTAATATCCTTTGATCGTTTATCAATTAGGGAATGACTTGCATTTTTATACATTTGACTCAGTTCTCTATATATTTGAGAAATGAGCCCTTTGTTTGAGATGCTTCTTGCAAAATTTCTCCCTCAATTTTCTGCTTTCCTTATAATTTTGGTTGCCTTGGTTTTATTTGTGCAAAAACTTTTTAATTTTATGTAATCAAAATTATCTGTTTTACATTTTGTGATGCTCTCTATATCTTCTTTGGTCCTAAATTTTTTCCTTATTCATAAATCTGACGGATAAACTATTCTATGCTCTAATTTGCTTATGATGTTATCCTGTGTGTAAATCATGTCCCCATTTTGACATTTTGGTTTATGATGTGGGATGCTGGTCCGTACCTAGTTTCTGCCACACTGTTTTCCAGTTTTTCTAGCAGTTTTTGTCAAATGATGGAACTCAGGTATTCTTGAGTCCAGGCCAGGACTCTCTCCGTTATGCTTTCTGGCTGCCAACTTAAACTATCTAAAACTAGCTGTTGTCTAGAGATATCTCAAAAACAACAGGTCCAGACATGCACTTAGCCTCAGCGCCTCCCTCTCACCTCCTAGGTCCAGTCAGCTGCTGTTTCTTCCTTCACAATCTCTCTCACACTTGCACACTTCTCTTCACTGGCAGAGCTACCACTTCAGTGCGGGCTCCGACCACCTCTTGCCTAAATTATTGCGGTAGCTCCCTAATTGATTTCCTCCCTTGAAATCTCTCCCCACTCCAGACTATCCTACTCGCTGCAGACAAAGTGATTTTCCTTAAACAGAAATACTATGTGACTCTCCTGTTGAGCCAACTCCATGGTCTTTCTTTTGCCTCCAGGATAAAATGCAAACTATTCTCTGTAGCTTTTAAAGCTCTGCATTCTGTCCTCAAACTATATTTCCAGTCTCTTTAGATTTTGTTCTCCTTCTCACACTCTGCTGTTCAGCTTTCTTTCTGGTACTCAGACCTAACTATCCAAATGCCTTCAAAATTGTCTTGTATTTAACTACTTTGTATTTATTCAATTTATGTTTATTTATACTGTCAATTAACAAGCATTTATCGAGCGCTTATCATATGTTGGGCACTGTGCTACACTCTGGGGATACAAAGAAAGGTGTCAGCCTTAAAGGTATCAACCTTTTCTACCATTTTGAAAGGGGAGACAGCCTTCAAACAACCAAGTACATGTGTAATGTATGCAATGATATATATACAATGAAAGGCACTAGCCATAATGGGCCCAGGAAGGGCCTTCTGCAGAAAGTGGAATTTGAGCTTAGTTTTTTAAATTTAAAAAAATTTTTAATTTATTTATTTTTAGTTTTTTCAATTTTCTCCCCTTCCTTTACTCCCCTCTACCCAAGATGTCGTGCAGTCTGATACAGGCTCTACATATACATTCATATTAAACATATTTTCACATTAGTCATGTTATAAAGAAGTATTACAACCAATGGGAAGAACCACAAGAAAGAAGAAACAAAACAGAGCAACAAAAGGAAAAAAGAGATCAAATAATATGGTTTGATCTGCATTCAGACTCCATGGTTCTTTTTCTGGATGTGGACAGCATTTTTCATCATGAGTCTTTTGGAGTTGTCTTTGATGCTTTTGTTGCTGAGAAGAGCTAAGTCTGCCAAAGTTACTCATAGCACAATGTTGCTGTGACGAACACCTCAGTTCAAATCTGACCTCAGACAATAAGCTGTGTACTTATTTATATAACCCTGGGCAAGTCATTTAAAATGAGCTGGAGAAGGAAACCACTCCAGTATCTCTGCCAAGAAAATCCCAAATGGTGTCATGAAGAGTCAGACACGACTGAAACAACTGAATAAGACAAATTATGGTATATTAATTTAGCGCTCTATCCACTATGCCACCTAGCTGCCCAAATAATTTGTCTAGCTGTTCCCAAATTTATAGGCACCCTTTTAGTTTTTAGTTTTTTTGCTACTACAGAAAGAGTTGCTATAAATGTTGAGGGTTCCCTTTTCCCCCCATGTGGCTCCTTTTCCTCTTCCTTCTATTTCTTAGAGGTAGAAACCTGGTAGTGGTATCCCTAGTTCAAAGGTGTGCACACATTAGTAACTTTTGTAGTACGCTTCCAAATTGATTGCTGGAGAAGCTGAACTAAATCACAGTTCTACCATTAAATACATTTGGTGTGCTTATTTTTCATACTTCTTCTAGTGATTGCAGCTTTCCTTTTGGGGTGGGGTAGGGTAGATGGTGACATCTTTGCCCATCTGATGTGTTTGAGGTGAAACCTCAGAGTTGTTTTAACTTACATTTATGTAATAATTAATATATCTAATTTATCTTATTTATATCTGTCTAGTAATATGGATTTTTTACCATGGTTGCTGATAGCTTAGATTTCTTCCTTTGAAAACTACTTGTTCATATCCTTTCACTATTTATTGGGGAATGGTTAGTGATTTAACAAGTGAAGTATGGTAGGAGAGAGAAGCTGAAAACCACTGTGTATCCACTTTGATTAGAGAGGATTGATGGGAAATAAGACTGGAAAGATAAGGTGAAACCAGATTGTGAAGGTTGAGTTTTGTTTGAAAAGTAGTAAGGAGCAACTAAAGATTTTTTAGCAGAATGACATGACTGTATCTATGCATAAAGATGATTCTGATAGTAATATAAAGCGTGGACTGGAGTTAATAATCTAGTACAGGGGTGGGGAACCTCTGGCCTTGAGGCCACGTGTGGCCCTCCATGTCCTCATGTCTGGCCCTTTGCATCCAGTCCCAAGTCAGGTTCAGTCAGAGGGCCACACTTGAGGATCTAGAGGGCCACATGTGACCTCGAGACCGCAGGTTCCCCGCCCAGTAAAAGGGTAAGATACCAAAATAGAATGTTTTACAAGTACAGTAGATAGTTACTACAAAATAGCTATGTGAGGTCTGAGGGAAGAAGGCCCTTAAAAAAGCAGCAGGGAATTATCATAAGCTTCTTGAAGGCAGACGTAGTTTTGTTTGTCTATTTCTAGGGCCTCGCCTAGCCTTAGCCACAGTAGGTGCTTAATAAATCTCCATGGAATTAATTTGTTGTTGGATGGGATAGTTGGGATTTTCTGTACCTAAAGAGAGAGCATAGTGATTCTGGGAAGATTTGAGGTCTAGAGGAGGGTAGCTGAGGATGTTGGTTTGTCCCATG